AAATAAGAAAAGACTCAAACTAACAATGCAATGACTGAACAGAATGTCCTTTATATTAACTATAAAAGCGATCAAATACTCTGTCATACACAAGAATCATCAGGAATTTGAATTGCCTTTGGTAGAAAAAAGGTTATATTGTCATTTAGTTTAATTATTAATTAAGTACATTAGTCAACGCTTGGAATACATGTTCTTGTATGTGTGCAGAGATAATGAATTATTAAGCAAACAGTTCTGTTTAAAATTCTGTATTTTTCAAACAAATGTTAGGTCTGTGCCACGGGTGGATCCAAAAATATGAGTTTTGCTGAAGGAAATTTTTTTCAGAGGCCTGAATTTTAGATTTTCAGGAGAGAAATGCAACTTTATAATAACGTTCATGGAACCAGCTACTAAATAAAGGCAAACAAGTGCCAATCATCAAATTATGAAAAATGAGTGAATTTTTTTTCTAGTCAAACTAACTTGTTCGTCAATGTCTTGGATATAAGATGTGAATCACTCTACTTAGATTTCTTAAGCATTGAATTCTTATTTTTGGATGTCGTCGGTCCTATAACACACCTGGCCGTGCCAACAAATTGGATACCGCGTTATGGTGGTATGATAATTTGTCGGCACAGCCAGGTGTGTTATTGGACCGACGACATCCAAAAATAAGAATTCAATGCTTATATTTACATTCTCTAATTTTCTATCTTCATAATTGTTTATGTCGTTAATTTTTTTACCTTAATTTAACAGGGTAGTTGATTTTTTTTTATTAAATTGGGTCAAAGCAATATACATTTTGGTCTTCCTAGATATTGAAAATGCATATAGTTCCACCGCGTGTTGACAAGGTTTCGCGTGTTATAGAGATTTGAACGTCTTACATTTCCAATGGATTTCATAAAGAAAATAACACTGGATGTAAATATTTGTTATTTGAACCCCCCACCCCCACCCACACACTTCACCGCGCATGATTACGATTCTTGTATGTCTGCTCGTTTTTGTAAGAGTAAATTATTTTGAGGAAATATTTGGAAAAAATCTGCACGTGTAAAAAAAAATTGAGTTAGAATGACTTTAGGGGAAAATCTGTCACTTACATTATTTTCATTATCTTTAAAACTATGTGAAAATGCCGTATTATTAACAGGTTTAAATTATTATGAGTAGCATTTAGAGAAATTATTTATTTTCATCTTTTAATTGTGATATCTTTTAAGTGTAAAAAAATCAAACCGTATGTTTAAAAAGTAGCATCAGAACTCGTCCTATAAAATTAATTGGTAGATCACATAGCTGCAACATGCAAAAAGTATGTTGCTTTTTGACTTTTCATAAACAGCCTATCTCAAATATTTTATACAAAATTAATTTTTGAAGACAATGTCGATCACTTTATTTTCCTATGAATATCTTTAAATAACTTTCATCAGCCGAGGAAAAAGAAGTGTATTAAATTCTTGCCGATCCATGATAGTAATTTTTTTTTACCAGTACATGTAGAGGAAATCTTTCTTATTCACTTTCCGAGATAAGAGAGGGTAATGCTAGGAATTTCTGAGACAAAACTGACGGCAGGTCTTTTACTTTACAGAGGATTAAGGAAACAATGCAATGCTGAAAAGAAAAATCCACAAAGCTTATATTGCAAGTGTACCAAATATCATTTTTTAGACTCTATTTTAACGTATTTTAAGATCTTGACAGTGTTCTCTATATTTATTCTTGCGTTACCTAATTTTTAATATTTTATGGCTGGGAGCTGGAGGGGGTGCTCTAATCCCCCACATTGTGCATAACAAAATATACCATCTGGTGTATATATTTTGAGACGATAAGGAGTCTTAGAATTACCCCTCTTAGCTGAGAATTAAAATGATATAATTTATATGTTTCACAATATTCTTTTTAAAAATACATCAAGAGGTATATTCTAAAAGAAGAAACTTTTGTTTTTTTAAAGAATAAAATAATAAAGTATCAGTAATTTTTATTGCATTACTTTTATTTCTATATACATTTAAAAATAAAATTAAAAATATAATATATATATTTAGTCGACTATCTTGGAAGAAACAATTATATCTTTGTCCGGCGAAAGCCAGAAGTTATTGTAACCCACTTAAGAATATTTGGAGCGTGTCATAAAAAACACGTGATAACCGAACACGATAAACCAAGAAACCGAAGAGGATGAACCAAGATAAAGATATTTTCCTTTTTAATGAACTAAAGTTCGGTTGTACCGATAAATGTCAAGATTTGACATTTGAATTTGACGTAAAATCACTCTTCGACTTTTGGTCAACTTCAGTGAGTGATATAAACATTTTAAATATCTTTTCTTATTTCAAAGAAAGCTGTGCATTCTAAAACATTGTGAAATTAACATTTTTTGTCCTTTTTATATGATAAACATAATCTCTCTGTTTCCTCCGACTACTGATCTTTTAATTAATTTGAAGTTTCATTTCAATACAAATATATGCTGTTTTCAGGAATTTCTAGAGTTACTTTTTGGTGGAGGGCGATTCAAATACAAAACAAAACTTCCCCAACGCACATGTACATCCATCACGCAACACACTTTGAGTATGAAAGATAAGAATAAGATGTATGAATCATTGTATAATTGAGTTGCACAGCATCAACAGAATTTTAAGTAAAATACATAAATACGAATACGTACCAAATACGAAACATTTTTAGTTGCTTATTTGATTACTTGCAGATTTTATTAAATTTAAGATGCTCCAAATAACCTATCAACTACCAATCAGATACAGGAGTTTACAGATCTTCCTGTGAATACGAAATTAGAGGAGATAGAGCAAACAAAGAATTTGTGAAGTGGTTCGACTGCGAACATCTACATATGTACCTCCCTACAATGTATCAAATTACGAATAATGAAAGCTTTATTAATGAATCAGAATAATGTACAGCGCATGCAATAAAAAATCTTATAGGATTCATGTAAAGTATGCATTTTGTACATGTATATTTTATCGCAATTACGTGTATTTGTGTTTGTTTGTTATACTGCACTGACCTGTGCAATTGTTCTAAGTTTCTGTGGTATCTTACTTTCTAGGCGTAGAAGAAGTACAGTTACTTTCTGTCGCTATCGAGTGCTGTGTAGCATACGTCCATCTACACCGGTGACAACTGATTACGCTGAACAGTGACTAAGTGAGCGGATTATAATGGGGCTCTCATATATAGCGAGTGAATAATCGAATATGGCGGACAAATTCTTTTTACGAATCGTGTTCAGCTTTAAACTACGTATATAATTAAAAAAAGAATTAGACTCTCTAAATGAAAGCCCTAGCATCAACCGTTGAAAAATTATGAAGGTTAGAGTTTTTTCAAAGTAAGTAAAATGACAAGGTCAAGGTAAAATGGTGCCCAATGGAAGGTCTTGTCACGTGATACACATGATCCTGAAATGTGAAAGTCCAAGAACCAAATATTCAAATGTTATGGCCAAGGTTATTATTTTTTTAAAGTAGGTCAACCTCTAAGGTCAAGGTCAAAGTTATAGGTATCTAAAGTAAGGTCTTGTCACAAGAAATGCATATATGAAGTATGAGAGCTATAACACTAACGGTTCAAAATTTATGGCCAACGTTAAAGTTTTTCAAAAGTAGGTCAAACTCCAAGTACCTGTTGGTATCTAAAGGAAGGACTTGTCACAAGGAATACATATGTGAAGCATGAAAATCCTAACAACAACTGTTCAAAAGTTATGGTAAAAGTAAATGTTTTTTCAACAGTGTGTCAAACCCCAAGATCAAAGGGTCAAAGTTGCTGGTGTCCCAATGAAGGTCTTGTCACAAGGAATAAACATGTGAAGTTTGAAAGCCCAAGTTCCAACTGATCAAAAGTTATGGCCAAGGTTAAAATCTCATAAAATTTTGCAAAAGTGGGACTCCAAGGTCAAGGTCAAAAGGTCAAATATGATGGTATCTAAAGAAAGGTCTTGTCACAAGGAATACACATGTAAAATATGAAAGCCATAACTTAACTAATCAAAAGTTATGGGCAAGGTTAAAGTTTTTGCGGACAAACAGACAAACGGACAGGGCAAAAACTATATGCCCCCGAATCATCATCGATTACGGAGGCATAAAAATTTCTGAAAATTTTTTTAAAAGGTGTACAAATATTGGATAAATACGATAAATTCAACTTGATTTCAAATGAAAGTGGTCAGAGAGCATTAAAAATAGTTCATATTTTTATGCCCCCGTATCGAAGATATAGTTATATATATATATTTTGTCCTGTACGCCCGTTTGTTTGTCTGTTTGTCCGCCAAAGCTTTAACATTGCCCATAAATTTTGATTGGTTGGAGCTATGGCTTTCATATTTCACTTGTGTATTCCTTGTGACAAGACCTTTCTTTTGAGTACCAACATTTCGAATGGTTGGAGTGAGGGCTTTCATACTTCACATGTGTAATCTTTGTGACAATTCCTTCTTTTGGATACAAACAACTTTGACCATTTGACCTTGACCTTGGAGTTGACCTTGGTGTTTAACCTACTTTTGGAAAACTTTAACCTTGGCCATAACTTTTAAACAGTTGGTGCTACGGCTTTCATACTTTACGTAATTCTTGTGACAAGACCTTACTTTGCATACCAACAACTTTGACCTTGACCTTGGGGTTTGACCTACTTTGACCTGCTTTTAGAAAACTTTAAACTTGGCCATATATTTTGAACGGTTGGTGCTAGGGCTTTCATATTTCACATGTGTATTTCTTGTGAGAAGGTCTTTCCGTGGGCACCATTAATTTTGACCATTTGACCTTGACCTTGATGTTTGACTTATTTTTGAAAAGTTTAACCTTTTCCATATCTTTTAAATGGTTGCTGCAAGGGCTTTCATTTTTCTCAGGTATAATCCTCGCGACAGGAATTTACTTCGGGTACCAATTTTGATTTGCATTTGAAAAATTTTAACCTTCGCTATAAGTAGCCATACGGGGCATCAGTGTTTCACAAACACATTTTGTTAATTCTTAGTTCAAGTAAAAACTCGTATTTAGATGGATTTCATAAAATGTAACCAAGGATTTCTTAAGAAATTCTTTCTATGTTTTCTTCTAGTTTACAAACATGTTTGACACACCAGTAGGTATAGCTGCAAAGCAATGTAATTTTAACATTTCAAGTTCCACATCTTTCTGATGAGTGGTAAACCTAGATTATGCGATGTCACAACATTTTTCGTTTTGTATGCACAACCCGGTGGTATACGCCCCGAGTTAAATCCAGCAATACGTTTCAGTTTGTAACCTAATTTTTTGATACACAGAGCAACATACACATCTTCCAGATGAAAGAAAGGAACATGTTTTGAAGCTTCATAAATCTTTGATGCTACATTCATACTTGTAACATAACCCGTCCCGGAGCAATAACCAGGATAAGTATTCTTCGGATAACTTAACATTGACGCATACCATTTAGATTTTTTGTCTCTGATTGGCCGAGCAGACATATGACATGCTCCTCCAACTGCAACCTGAAGGCTCGAGCCATGGACGGACACCACATGTTTCACTGCATCTAAGTTGACATACATGTCATCATCTGCCTTCATTACAAATTTTGCTTGTTTGCATGTAGTGCTTGCCCATTTGAAAGCCATTATTGTCTTGTAAGTCAGATTCATGTATGCATCAACAAAATCCTCCTGAAGGATGTCATGGTAAATCATATTTTCAGCCTCAATCCTTTTATTGAGATTCGGATCTGACGTGTTGCCTAGTAAAAATGCATATCTGATGTCAGATGTGTTGTTTTTGGTTGGAGTTAACCATGTTTGCCGGAGGGTGTCTCTTGCTTCTCTGTTAGCATGTATGGTTAGAATAAGAACAATTATGTCTACACTACTATTTCCTTCTCCAGAATCACATATATGCTTATTATTTATAACATATCTGAACTTGTGTTCAAAGCAAGATTTACATTGATCAGGTCGCGGGGTTGGTTGCACTGGACGAGATTTTGTGGTCACTTTAAAAATTGTTGATTTGATGGTAGGGTGGATTTGTTTTTGTGCTGTGAGCTGTTTGCTTAGAATTGAACCTAACACAGTGCTGTCTGATCCTGATTGAATTGCTGTTATTTTATTACATGTACAATTGTCCTGACCACCATGTTGTACATCAGGACTATCACTGTATACGTAGTTTAAAGAATGTTTGAAGTCATCTCTAGGTTGCTTAGAACGCAGGATCAATGATTTAAAAAGTTTGTCAGCAAAGAGAATGTTAGTCAGAACAATAATGGATACATGTAACCCTACAAGTATATAAATGCATGTTCTAATGCTGCAAAGTCCCGACCAGTGCCTTGGTTTCTTATCAGCCATAATGAATTCCTTATGACCTTTCCTCCAATAATCTGTAAAAAATAGAGTATGAAAATGTTTCACTCTAGTACCCTTTTAAATTTAGTATTTACATTCGCTAGGATTTTGGTGGTAAAGACCATGTCAGCTCCTGGAATTATACTACATAACCATAAATAAATGACGGTATGCCTTACTTGTAAAATACATTTCATTTCTTAATACAGATTAATAGAAGTCAAATTAAGAGGCAGACAATAAAAGGCTTAAGAAAAAATTCCTATTCTTTATGGCAGTGATGATAATGACACCAAACCTGAAAGCATTTGATAATTCATGCAGAAACTATTTATCTCTTGCTCTTTGCTCTATATATAGTTCGTCGTTAACCCAGAAAAAATATTGACATTTTTTTTTAAATAGAAAGATAGTATTCAAAGATAGCCAAGCTCACCTCAGGGTTGGTTTTGTTTGCATATAATAATAATAAGTTATATACATGTATATTATATATAAGTTATGTTATAAGTAGGGGTGTCAATTAATATTCGAGTACTCGACTATCGTTCGACCATACTGAATATCTACTAGAATTTTTCGTTAAAAATGTGTTACCTGAAAGAAAGTAGTTTTAAATTCAAGGTAATAAACTTGGATTCGCCCATTTCATTTATATATAGATCAATTTTCTCGTCTGCTCAAAGGAAATTCTTTGTATGTCGATTTATGTTCGGCAAATATGCCTCCAAAATCTACAGTTTTGGAATACTTTAAAAGATTTCAGGATGGAAAAACAGTTAAAAGTACGTTTTCAAAGTTATGTGAAACTGAACTTGTATTCTGCAGTGGAACATCATATATGATGTATCGTATGCCGAATCTGTCAAACATACATGTAGTAAACAGTCTTCAAGTGAAACTTTTCTTAAGTAAGTTCTCTGCAAAGTGCCCCAAAAAAGCAGAACCGGAAAGAAAAATGTGGCTATCACAAACATGATTATCAAGGATTGTCTACCACTTATTGTTGTAAGTGGAGAGGACGTTCAAGAATTGCTTGGTTTTGTAGATTCAAATTATAAAGTTTTAACCTGCAATTCCCTAAGATCTGGAGTAATGCAATTACTCATAAGCAATTAAACAGCTGTTACAAAATTGTAAATACATGTAAATTCGGGGACAGTTATGAGCGTAATTAAATGGTGTTTCTTTCTGATATTAAGGAGGAGAAGGACACATGGTCACATGACTCTGTTTAACTACGTCATAGTCTCCGTTTATATAAGTGCAAAACGTGTAAAACGTCAGTTCTTGTATAAATTTTTGATAATGTTTTAACTTAAAAAAACATCTTATATAAAAAAAAAATGAAAAGTTTAACATTCTGGTAAACATTAACAAATTATGAAAAAGATTCATCCACTCCTCTAGATCTGTTTCCTAAACTGCGCGTCCAACAAGTCGGTGACGTCATACACGATCTGTTAGTACAGCAAGATCATACTCGGTGAACACAGGGGCGGTTTTATTATGTAAAAGCAGGTCATAATCGGTATATGATGAAATATTTTGAGAAACGGGGAACACAAAAATTATTTTTGCATGACTGATGACGGAAATCTCATGTAGGTATATCTTATTTCGCTTATTTAGCTTACGTGAGACGTCACAGTTGGTTTTTCCCGTACTCGAGAAATGTAGTGACACGTTTTTTGTCATGCTTATGTCCTCTTTGTGAAATATTGAGGTCAGCTTCATCATTCGAAATTCTTAATCAATAATTTGAAGGATTTGCATTTCAAGGTAAATAAAAAAATATTGAATGATAGAATTTTTTGTAAATTACGTTTTTTTATTGTACCCGGATTCTCCACCATGTAATGTTTACGTTGCTTTGAAAATAATAATTCCTGATTAAAGTTTAGAATTTATTGAAGTCCAAAAGTACAAAACAAAACTGCATTTTTACACAAAGGTTTTTAAGAGAGTGTCCTTACAGACAAACTCACGCACGTCTCATCCTTGACAACTCCACCCACTTTTCATAGATGAACCAATCAAACAATTTTTAAGACAGTGGTAAAATTAGGGAAAAGCTCAATGGCATTAATTTACAGAACAGGAAACAGTGTGAGTAAGCATAACAAATTCAAAGAAACATTGGTCTCAGATCTGACCATAAATCTGATAACAATTATAAGCGAATGGCATCGATACCGTGGGACGGGAGAGAGAGATGTCAAGATGAGAAATTACAAACACGTGCGGTAATGCTCTTTCTTAAGATCAAACAAAACAATTAAATTTCAATTACCGATTTTCAACAAGTCAAAAAAAATATTTAAACAATGCCTAAATCATTATAAGTACATGAAGAAAATATCTAATGAGTTGTCTTTATCAATAAAATATACACATGTATACAACATTAAGTTGTCTTAAAAAGTGCGTAATTTTCCACACCCAGATGCAGTGTGATAGACAAAATTTGCTTTTTTGAATTTTAAATCCATTTATACTCTGAAATATTTTAAAAGATACATGTCCAATTTAATATTTTTTTATATATGCTTTAAAAAATCCCATTATGGACAGAGTAATGAGTTCGGAAACATGGAGAATTAAAACTCCACTTAGATAACTGTAGGGCATAGAATTTGTCAATCAATATCTCCAAAATAAGTTAAGAAACCTAGTGATATAACTGCTTTAAGATATGTGGGACATACTTAATCAGAAATATACAAAATATAAAAAAAAATTGAATGACAAGTGTTTTTTCAGCTCAAGGTCCTTCTCCTCCTTAATATCATGCAGTCTTTTTAAGATTGTATTGATTATTTGCACAAAATCTCATAATAAAAATTTATCGCAAGCTCTTTCTGTTTTTATAGGAGGCACGCCTTAATTGTTTACCAGTCAAAGGTCACTGACACGATACGTAGAAATGTCTTCAATTACATAGTACATGTTCTATCGTTTTGAAAAGAAAGGACAAATGCAAGCGTTTGATATCCTGCATTTAGATAAAATGTGCAGTAAATATTATATTAATTTTGAAATCAAGTGCATTGGGTAAATGTAGATGCACATTATTTATTGTACGACATAGATGTTTACGATTCAGAAATTCGTTGTATAATGAAGATAGCGTAGGTTAAATATTGCACAACTAGTCTAGAAAAGGCAAATAGTGAAAATGACATGGAAAATTTATTTAAATTTCAACGAATATTCGATTATCGTTCGACTAAAGCCTCCGACTATTCAACTAAGCTGTCCGAATAAAATTGACATCCCTAATTATAAGGCATATAATAATAAAAAGTTTAACTTTGGAATATATTGGGAAGGCATTTATAAAAATTGTCTTTTCAAGAACAATGGGTCAAGGGGACCATGATTTGAATAAACTTAAATCTGACACTATACAACAATGTTTGCATTTTAATCAGATAATCCGTGTTGTTTTTTGAAATTTTATTAAGATTTGTTTTCCATATACTCCCTTGTACGATTTTAATGATGGGTCTCATGAAATATTTACTTTACAAGAAAAAAAATCAGACTTGCCCCTTTTTTTATATACAATAGAATACGATTAATTGACTTACGTAACAAAACCTTCATTAAAAAATTATCACTATGCGATTTTTGTGCAACATCTAGGAAAAATATAAATTGTATTTCAAGTGATCGAAAAAGTCATGTGACATCATTAAAATCATTAAAATACCCGATGAAACTCTTCGCATATTTACTGTACATGTGAACTTAGTTTGGAAATTGAAATGAAAACCGTGCTCAAATAATATATTAATATGCTTATAATACATATTAAGGTGAAGGCAGACTCATTTGATGATTATTGTCATATTGCAGGCTCGAATTCCTACTACCATGCACAGTCTATTCCAACCCACACCCACCTCAAATTCACTGTGTTTTCCTAATTGATTTTTAGACTTCAGTGTGATGTTCTTCCCAAAATGATTGAAAGAAGTCTACTTTTAAAATACGAGAGAAAAAATGACTCAATGTCTTAGAATTGTGCAGAGAGGCATGATCCTGACAATGAGGTTTAGATGAGGTGTAAAAGTGCTCTATTGTATTCTTGGGCTAAAGTCTTTGTCAATATTTGATTTTTTGTGGAAAACAAAGAAATGTATATTTAAAATCATCATTTAAAAAGAGAATTTTTTTTGTTATATTTCCAGGTTTAATAATAGCATTTTTTTTTACAAAACGAGTCTACGTGCAAAAAAGGTCATTTTTTTTAAACTTGGATGTAAAATCACACATAACTTTTAAATAAATGCCATTACATGCATATCATATTTTTTCATAACCAAAATAAAGATATTTGCATGTGCAATAATATATTTTTCCAAATTTTTTCTCACAGATTTACTGAAAATAAATATTCAAATGTATGAAAATTGAAAGAATTATAGAGCTGGTGTGTATTTCATCAATAATATAGTGCAAATGGCTTTAAATTTTTATTTTTTTTTTTTCAAACATTTACTGACATTAATTTATCATTTAACTTAGATTATTAATATGTATTTTTTTTCCCTTTTTTCATATTTTCTTTGTTTTATGTATAGCTGAATATTATTTTATCAAAAGCTCAGACTCTATACCCAACTTTAAGTAGTACTGCTGCAAAAAATAAATAAATAAATAAATAAATAATAATAATATGACAATGGCTTTTTCCCATAAATATGTTTTATGTTGGTTAGTGAAATAATGTTGAAAGGGACAGTTTGGTCAGAATTTTAATTTCTAGAAATATAAAACTACACCTCTCATTAAAAAAGTAGCATCTTATAGCTTTGCACTGCTGATAAGAACGGTTAAAATTGAAATTGATTGCTTAATTGGAGCAGCATGGGGAAATCCTTATACTGACAGATAAGTAGATCTTACGGGGATTTAAACAAAACCTCGATTAAAGTCAGCATTTCGTTTATTTCATTGTCGTAATAATGACTTCATTAACAGATATAGCCTATAAT